GCTTCTACTAATGCCTAAAATATTGCTAAAATTGATGATATTCTCCTCCCTTGAATTTGGGCTAGAAAGAAGCACTGATTTGCTTTGGCTAATAACCTGACCAGAAGCCTTGCAGTAAATATCAAGGACATTTTTTTAGAGCTCTCACAAAAGTTCTAAATCAAAATGCCAAGAATGTCTTAGGTCTACAAACACAAAAAATGTGATTATTTTAACGCATTTTTAGTAAAGCGTGATTAAAGTACAATAGTTATTCCCAAAAGTACAATAAAAACTAACTTTTAACATTAGCAAACCCTATCAGAAATTCAGATTTAGACATCAGCCAAAAAAAATTGCCTCACTCCAAATCTAAAGCCTAACTTCAGATTAATTAGGAGTAGGAATATAGTTTTAGTTTTAAACCACATGCATGTGCAAATAATTTAAGGATAATTGAAATGACCCTCTTGTATATAATAAATAAATAAATTAATAAATAAAACTAATATTGTGGTCGACAAATTGAGTTAGAAACTTTAATGATCAATCAAAGCAACCTAAATTAAATAGTATCCACATGCTAATTACCAATCAATCAATTGAATATGTTCATCAGTAATATGTGATTGAAAATGATTGAAGAATTCTCACGTAAGAATATTGCATGCACTTTAGTTGTAGCATTTTATTGCATTCTTTTCTAAAATAATACTGTATTACTGTCTCACTATCGTGCAATTCACATTTCGTGGAGTTCAAGCTAATCGCAAAATATTTTTTAAAAAATATTGTAAACATATCATATATTGGCGTAATATCAATTTATCATATTATTGGTTAGTATTTGAAGTAGTAATTAATTTTGCCCTAGCTTCACTTGACGATGAGCTATATATATTATGTATCAATATTATTGATGCATAGTAATACATTTTATTAAAAAACAAGCTTGAAAACTTTGAGGGGTCAAGTGAGATTGATATCATTCCAAGAGAATAATATAGTAATATCCAATAGCAATCAGCATCCCATCACTACCCTAATCAGATTTATTAATCTACTCCGTATAACAAATAGTTTTCACTTAACTGCACACTACATTCATATAATAATAATAATAATAATAATAATAATATTAATAATAATAATAATAATAATAATAATAATAATAATAATAATGTAAACTCCTTGATTAGAGTGATTTCCATTGATCAATATTTATAGGGTTACAATGAGAAACCAAATCATATTAGGTAACTATAAGATATGTACAGATATCAAAGATAATCTTATACAAAATATATCCTAAACCTAAGATGAGAATATTATATGGATATTATCTATCATACCCCCGCAGTCGGAGCGGGAGAAAATCGAATGCTCGGACTGGATCTGAATCACGCATCGAGCGGTAAGGATAGTATGGTAACCCATGATCAAAAGGGAAGTATGTAGTAGACATGTGCCGGTGATGACGATGAGAAGCAATAGCCACGACCTACATAGAGTAGAGGTAAGCACTGCTAGGCTGGAGGAGAAGGAGAAGAGCCGCACACAGACTTGGGCTAAGTTGCAGATCCAGAGAAGAAGAAGCTAAGGGATCAAACCATCATCGGGAAGAAGACACTACACTACTACGTGAAATCACAGTTGAAGAAAAACAAATAAAATTGCGCAAGAAAAAGATTAAATTCCACCGCTTGAAATTAATCAATTCTCAAAAGAGAAATCTAGGTAGCAAGAATCAATACTCCACAAAGATTCCAAGTGCTGCAACAGTAAGAGGAGCCAACTTGATAGCAAAAGAGATTTGCAAAAGTTGACCTTATTCTGGTATACCACCACCAAAACAAAATCTATGTGATTATGTGTAGAAAAACCAATGGGGAAATGTAAGAATCATTGTTGGTCATGAGGAGGTGGAAATAGAGTGCATGCGACACATGGAGTAGGTTGGCAGGTATGGTTACTGCCAGTAGTGGGAGGCGGTAGTGTATGCGATTGCCACCAATGATGGAGGCGGCTTTCGCGGTTGCTACTATCGGTGGGAGGCGCAAGGCTACATAAAGATTCTAAAAAAAAACTTTGAGAAAAGAAAAAAGAATCTATAAGTGTGTGTTTGCAGAAGCATAAAAAATTTGTGTATATCCCGCCGGTGGGTTTAATTTTCTAACCCACCGGCAGGGTGAGTATTTTTGTATATGATCCCAAGATCTCACCTAAGCTGTGATACCATGTCACATAATGTAAACTCCTTGATTATAGTGATTTCCATTGATCAATATTAAATTTATAGGGTTACAATGAGAAACCTAATCATATTAGGTAACTATAAGATATGTATAGACATCAAAGATAATCTTATACAAAATATATCCTTAACCTAAGATGAGAATATTCTATGAATATTCTCTATCAAATAATAATAATAATAATAATAATAATAATAAGCTTGAAATCTTTGAGGGGTAAATTGATCACTAGTTCACTACCCTACTCAGATTTATTAATCTACACACCCCGGATAACAAAAGGTTTTCACTCAATTGCATAATTGTATGGTACAGTATACTCCTGGATTTTAACCATCAGATTTAACTTTTGGCTGATGGTATTTTTATATAATATCAAGAGCGATCATGAAAAAAAGATCTTTTGATTAAAATTTATCTCTTGACTGAGTTGATCCTTTATTATGATTTCAAGAGCTAGCATGACAAGAAAGCCACGAATTCAAATCAGTATACATATTAATCTACTCCGTATAACAAAACTTTTTCACTTAACTGCACACTATAGTCATATGATTAACATAAATAAATTAAATTTTTTTTTAAAAAAGCTTGAAATCTTTGAGGGGGTCAAGAAAGAATGATGTTATTCCAAGAGAATAGTAATATCTCAGTAGTAATCTACATCCATTGTTCACTACCCTACTCAGATTTTAATCTACACACCCAGGATTACAAAAGGTTTTCTCTCAATTGCTTAATTCTATGGTAAAGTATACTCTAGGATTTTAAACATCAGATTTAACTTCTGACTGATGATTTGATCTTTTGATATAATATCAAGAGCAAGCATGAAAAAAAGATTTTTTGACTAAGATTTATCTTTTGACTGAATTGATCCTTTAACATAGTTTCAAGAGGTAGTTTCAAGAGGTAGCATGACAAGAAAGTCATGAATTCAAATCCGTATACATATTACTACTAATATTATCGAAATTGTATAAATTTTATGAAAGAGGGAGTGCATGTCACCTTTCATGACTAACTTATAATGATTGGTTGAGAAGGAACATGGCATAGTTCTATTTTCTAAATAGTCCAATAAATTTGTGGCCAAACTCTATTATTTTGTTGATGCGATCAAACTTTTTTAGTGTCTTTTCATATGATTATATAATACCCAAAGTTGCATGTGAGCAATTATTGGTTTTTGTTGATAAGATTTTTCCTATAATAAATAAAAAACGAAGTGTAGGCACTAAAATAAGGTGAATGAAATGGAGCAGTTCATATTTAATTGTTTGCTAGTCAACCATAATTTCACAAAAAGACGAGGGAGATTTGGATCACACAATCTTATGATATTTAGATGGTGCTTGAATCTAATTCCGAACATGTTTGAATCATTATAAGTCTTGTACCTTATCTAATTGTACTCTACGTACTATGCTATTTATACATAATCCAATATACTTTCCTATCCTTTTACATGTGAAGTGTCTTTATAATCATTTCATATTTATACAAATTAATTAAAAAATTATGTAAAAAAAAAAATTAGGATAGTCTTTTCTTTATATAGAAACTATACTTATCAATATTAATAAATTATTGATATTACTATAATTTTTTTTACTCAATATTGATATTACTATATATAAATGAATGAAATATAACTAAAATTTGCTCATAGTGCCCTAGTCAAAACGCTAGCAAATACAGTATATGATCGGATGCATTGTACAAAGTCAATTAAAATTATAACATAATCCATTGAGTGGTTAATTTTCTTGTAACTATAAATCTATGATGAGAATTAATAGAAGAGAATTGACCATCAAGAAACTAATTTACATCATCTATAATTATAACCAATTGACTCTTTCACAAAATATTAAAGAGTAATATATATTTTTTTATAGCCTTAAAGAGTACATTTTTACCTTCAATAAAAATGGGAGTAATATTATTTTCAATGACCAAATTTGAAGTAACCCTTTATGAAGCTTTATTTTCCCAATTAAAGGTGTAGCAGAACCAAGATTGTAGGAACAACTCACACCATGTATAATTGCCAAGTTGATTATTCATGTTAACAACCCCTAAGTTATTGCTCTTATCCTATGCATAAAATATTGTGTGAATTTGTTTCAAAGTAAGTCCACTCTTTCTTCCCCAAACAAATGAAATTCTTTTACAACATGTACAAAACATATATTAAGACAATTTCTAGAACTAAGATGTTCAAGAGCTTTAATAATATATCTGATATTTTATATTAGTGTCATGGAGAGTCTAAAATTAAAAATATCTTTCTTTTGATACTACGTACTTTATTTAGTTGGTCCAAGAGCAATAAAGATCAAGTAAAAGAAATAAATTAAAGTCAAAATCAGTGTCACTATAACAATTAAAAAAAAAACAACCGATAAAGAATGAGTTGGAGAAAGATAAATAACAAAGAAATAAAATTGTATTGAACTTTGATTAAAGTTATAAAAGTCAAATAAACAAGCTAAGAAGTAAAAAGGAGAATATTGAAATATCAGATATTATCATAAAAAAACAAGAAATGGTAACGTGACGTATCCGCCATTGATCTTCTTCAATTCATGCTCGATCTATATCCGAATATTCTTGCATGCATCATTATTACTAATCTTAAAAATAAATTAGTACATAAAATCACTACAATTAGTACTTGCATCTTCTCCACAAACAAGTACGGTATCATATACTTTATCCTTAAACATTTTTATGAAAAGTCATCGTATAAAATATACATGCTTAAGGTCCCGTTGATGAATTTGCCGAGGAGGACTCGGAATCAACCCCGGAATCGACTTCCCGACGATGGAAGTTCCGGTGACAACCACATGCAGCACACACAAGAGCGCGATTAGTACCTTCATTTCCACTAGGCATGAACTCTCTACATCCATCTATTGCATAACCTCCGGCGTAAGCAGCATGATTTCGTTGACACTCCCTATAGTTTACGCTGGCCTTGACTTGAGAGGCGGTCGAGTAATCTATTGAGCCCCTCCTAGGTTCTGACCTTGACGCCGCGGTTGCTCGAGTTTTGCCCATTTTATTTGTGAATGAAAAGGAGTCCAAGACACTCTAACAGTGCAAATGAATAGATGAAATGGAACGAAAGTGTCGGAGAAATATAAAGAATTTTAATGTTAGGTAATTTAAACCTAACCTGGATTTTTGTGGACTAGGAAGCTTTGACATTATTACATTGTAAGAGTTCAAAATTATAAGTTTTTATGAAAAGAAGTTTTAAATTAAAGTGTTAAATTCCATACTTGATAGCGATATAAAAGAAAAAAGAGAGAGAGAGAGAATTGAAACGTAATCTTGTAGCTAGGTTTAATTGCTTGACTAGTTGAGTAATTTTTCATACCTTGTTTGAAACTATTTAGCACATTCAACTTGATATTATTCACAAAACTTATTTTGACTAGTTTTTTTTTAAAAAAAATTGTGACAAAATACTTAATAAAAATCGAGTTTTGTGAAAAACTTCTTAATATAAAAAATATTGTAAGAAACTACCAGATAAAAAATGTTGTAAATGACTACCTTTTATTGGATTTCCATCGTTGACTCACTTCTCCGGCATTGACCACTCATATATTTCTCATGTGATTTCAAATTTACCAAATTCATACCTGTCACAGTCCGATAGTTCTAACACCAGATCGTGCGGTGCGCTCATGTCCATTATGCGACAAGGGCACAAGTCTCGAGCAGAGCACGGTACGTGAGCACACAGCACCACAAACCAAAGATATTTCAAGGAAGCACACGTCAACAACGAGTGCAGATCGAGTCGAGACTTGTGACGGCTGACACTTCGAAGCGGGCACAAACGGCGGGACCGACGACGCGGAGGTGTCTTTCGAGGGTCTCTTGGTTTGGAGGGGGATTCTTTTAAACATGGCAAGCACAACATCTATAATGGCTTAATCAACACACAAGTCTTAAAGCAAGATGCAACGGGGTAGGGAGCGACTTTTAAACACCAAGTTGATGCTCAATTATCCCAATTTCATCCTTTAATACCTCAATTTTTCCCTCCCTTGCATTATTTTTGACAATATGCATTAATCTTGTGTTTTTTTAGGGGGGCTAATTTTTGAGTTTGGAAGAGGAATTTTTACAATATAATTGATTTTAAATTTTGGTTGATGCGCTATTGTTGTTGGCGTAACATGGTTACAATGGTGGTTGGTATGGCCATTCCTTGTGGCTTGATAGGTTGCGCTGGTGTTATTATTGGTGACGTCAAGAGGTAGAGATGGAGTGTGGTGGTGCAGTGATGACATGTAAATCAGTACATGTGTTGTGAGGAAGGGAGTTAATTATGTTTTTATTGTGTTAGGAACTACAAGGAGTGAGGGCTTGTGTTGGTTCGATGGGGTGGAGTGATAGGCGTGTCGCGTACCTAACAAAAATAAACCTAACCAGACCACTACTATGTAGAAGGGCAAACAAGGGTCGGATCCCAAGAGACTATAGTTCAACTAATTAAATAGAATCAAGCAATAACTAAGCAAGTAACCAAATAAAATAAGTGATAATCAATAACTAAAGAACTAATTAAAACGATCAATTCTAAACAATATGACAATTCAATGCTAAAAACATCCAAGATCAAGCATCACCACGAATACACAATTAATGCAATAGTCGTTCTACCCCTAACATATAATTCAATTGATTAATGAGGAAAAGTAATCCATGAATAATACCAATGGTCTCTCCTGAGTTATCAATGGCTTCTCTAATCACAATCAAGCCTACTTCTGTGGAACCATGTAAATTAAAGACTTTGAGAACATTACTCTAACTTCCTAATCATTCATTCAACTACTCCCGTGATGAACTTCAAACCCTAATTGATTTATTCAAATCCGTCAAAACCCAACTCCCGTTGCGATTAAAACAAAGGATTAATAACAATACCAAGCAATTATCCCTAATCTAGTATTGACATAAGCATAATCAATTAAGCACATCAATTACAATAATTATTAGAGAATTTAAAGAAGTAATTCATGCATCAATTATATTCAGGTTCTGCTAGATCTTGGAATAAAGAAACTACTCACACATATTAACCAAAGCAAAAACAATATTAAATGAAGAAAACATGATTAATAAGTAATTAAAAGTAAATGAAGAAATAAAGATGAATACCAATTGCTTGAATGAAGAAAAGTAACAATTGTTGATGAACAAGGATTAAAACTTGAAAGTGCAATGTAATCTAGATCTAGAGAGAATATTAGGGTTTTAAAAGTGTTTAAAAGCTTCCAAGATAATAACTAAGTGTTTTAGTCTGGTTTTACAAAGGGTATTTATATCCCTTAATTAAGAAATCTCAAAAAAATAAGAAAATGGGCTTCGCGAAACCGTGCCCGGTCAGACCGGGCAAAGCCGCCCAGTCGGGCGCGACAGACAAACTCGCTTAATGTATCTTCACGTAGCCTCCTCACACAATACTTTGTCCGCCCGGTGTGCCACACTACTACAAAAATAGGCTTTATAGAACGCTTTAGGACAGTTCGTCTGCTAACCGATGTGTAAAGTTTATAAAACGGGCAAATGAGGCTTTTGTATCCCTTGTCATAGAGAACGGTCAACAGACATAACCGTTCTCTATTCCCTTCCTAAAATCTAAATATGAAGAAGGAAAAGACAACGGTTGCTTAACTTGACAGTTTTATTTTGTTATACAAAACAGAACGGTTTTATTAGTTAACCGTTCTCTCTTTTTTTTTAATAGACTTAATTGAATGATGATAATTTGAAAATTTCCCAGGTTAAGCAGCCTAAATGAAGTCTTTTTTTTTCTTTTGAAACAAACATCAAAATTTTAAATTAAAACCAATTTGAACAAATGGTAATTTTGAATTTTCCGACCCAAGTAGTCATAATTATAATACAAATACAAAATAATAGAACTATTGATAATTTAACAACGAAAAATAAACGATACAATATCAACAATCATAGAAATAGTCTATACCAATACAACATAACAACGAAATTGATGATAGATTATACAATTCCAAAAAAAAATAAAAAAAAATAAGAGATGATTTTTTGTGAATATTTATAAATAGCTTTCTCCTCTGCCGTCCTCTGATAAATCTGCGTTAAAAAAAATCATGCAATTATAATCAATAAGAGTAACACCATGAATTGACAAACTCTAAATTTTTTTGAGAAATTATATTGTCAACATCAACCCATACCAAAAACCTTGATTAAGAAGAATCAAGAAAAATCAAGAATCAGGATCGGAAAGTTCCATTACTCTCATCATTCGCCGTTGATAAGTTTTTTACCAAAGATTCAACCGTCGAACTGGCTTCTTTCAATTCTACATTCTCGTTGCTGTTACATCGACAGGAATCGTCTTCTCCATTATATTAATTCAGCGCTATTCATCGATTCCTGCCTTAAGCCTTTTTGAATCTGCCATCGGTGCTGCGATTATCAAGATTCAAAACCCTAACACAACATAAAATTGTCGATTAAAAAAAACTACGGAAATTCTTTTCAATTTTTGTGAAGGATTTCAATAAAAAGACTTAATTGGATATATTTTGGCACAACAGAATAAAAATTAAAACCTCAATCAAATCAAATAAAATCAAATAACTTCAAGGATGTAGCAATTTAATTAAGGTGTTAAAATTTTCAATCAATTTAAAATCAGAATCAAACCTTTATAGCTTTTGAGCTCTTGATCTCGGGTCGTACAAGCCCTTATTTTCCATTTCCTTAAAAAGTAACAAAAATGGGAACAAATCATTTCAGATTTGAAAATTGAAACGATGAGAAATTGCATGTATTTTCTAGTTTTGGAGAAGAAAGATTGATAACATTACATAAAGTTAAATTTCGGTGTGAAGAAGAACAAAAGGCAACCATTTATTGAAAGATGAACGTGGATGTAATTTTAGGGTTGACGACGCATAGTGGTTGTTACTAAACACTGTTCTATATATATTTACATTTTTTTATTTAATAATTTTTTATTAGCATGAGAAAATACAGAACGGTTGGGTAGTGACTGTTCTATTTTGTATAACATATAAAACGGTTGGGTAGTGACTGCCCTATATTCTTTAACATATAAAACGGTTGTCTGAGAAAACCGTTCTATTTAGTTATATAGAATGCTTGTCTCTGTAACCCATTTCATATCATGCGTTTCTTATTCCACTTTTTGTACTAGTGCCAGGGCAATGTCGCCCGGTCCGGGCGGATGGAAGTTGAACTCTTCACTTCTTTCTCGTGAATTCTCTTCTTTCCTTCTTCGCATTGGTTGCCAGGGAAATGTTTCCCTCCAGGGCAGACACGGGTAAAAATCTCCTCCATCTTGATAAGCTCTCATAGCTATCCAAAATAAATCCAAATCATCCGAAAACCTTCATGTGCCTACAAAATCAATTAAATAGACCAAGCCACACTAGAGAAGAGAATATTAGCAAGAAATAGCTCCGTAGAGCTCAAAAACCATACGGAAATAACTATAAAATGAGGGTAAAACATGGTATAGAACGTTTACATTAAATTCCCCCAAGCTAACTTCTTGCTTGCCCTCAAGCAAGACAATCAATGACTAGAAACAACCAAATAAACATATTTCACCTCATAATACATTTGAAAATACCATACTCAAAACCGAAATCGGAAACACAGGCATCTTAGCCAACCAATCACCTCATTCAGACTATCAATCAACCTGAATGGCCATCAAACAGAGTCAACCATGTACACATAAGGAATCGATGACTAGAATATCTCACTTAGTGGTCACTCCGCACAATTTTATGCGGCGAGCTAAACATGAGCCCGATCTCTCTCCATCCCCACTAATAATGATAACCCCCCATTCTCACAACACTCACGTGTTTAAAGGTAATAATGCCGCTCAACCTAGTCAAAAGTCGACTCGAAATGTGATACATACTCTAGCATTTTGACAAAAGACTCGTTTCACATGAACACAATACTATGCACGAAGGTCATAAGGTCTTTTTTCAAGCTTGTAATGTAGGTCGGGTGAAAATGGGTAGGAAAAATTTGGAAAATGTAGGTAAATATAGTCCCTCAGGGAAGCCATCAAAAATGAACAATACACATCAAAATCCCATCGAACTAATTCACAAGAATACACACTCCAAACATAACTTGATTTAAGAGCAACTACCACCTTATTCACCTTACATAACAATTCATCGCACCATTCTTATTTTTGAAACTCTTTTATTTATCCATCAAGAAGCTGAAATTTTTTTCTTTTTTTTCTATAATTTTTTTATTTTTTATTTTTAATAACAAACTATAAGAGCTTCAAAAAAAGATCATATAGCAAAAATTCAAAAACATTCAAGCTTCAGATTAATCTTCTTCAAAACATCATCACAAACCATAAGAGAACACCAAGACATAGATGGCTCCCCCAAGCTAGACTTGGGATAAGTTACTAATTGGGGCTGAAAGGTTAATTTTGTGACTTAGATGAAGAACATGGACAAGGCTACAACATGGGTAAGCAAGAAGGGAACAGACGTTTCTAAATTCATCTAGATGCTACCTAACATAAATGGCCTTCGTCCTCCTCATCGTGCATGTGCAATGTATCATGACACACTACTAAGAGTCTCAAGACAAAACTAAGATCAATGTCACACCAGGAACTAACACACATGAATAAGTAATAAAGGCTTAAGCCTCACAGTTCACACAGTCAAGCTCCAGATTCATACACAGTTGAGCAAAGTTGACTTCCATTAGGCCAAGACAATCCAAAATTAGGTCATGATCATTTAATCTGCATTGCAAGTCTTTCAATCAAAATCAAGCCAAAAACATTTTAATCATCTAGGATAGGGGCACAGGGAAGTAGTCTACTAGTTGTTCATCGCCATGATTTACACGTATTTTTTGAATTTTTTTTCTAAGAAATAAACTAAACTACCCAAAGCAATTAAATCTATCTAGCAAGACATAAGAGAAAAAGAGAACGTAGCAAAGAAGAAGCTATATACATCCTCCCCTAAGTTACACTCGACAATGACCTCATTGCAACGAGGGGTAGGTAGTGCACTACTCGAGAAGTTCAGTGAAGGTTCTCATCATCGCTAACATCATCATCAGCTGCTCCATTTCCACCAGCAGAGGTCCCGTCATCGGGGAGGACATACCAAGACAGGTGTTGACCATCCCTGGGAATGTGACCTTGCCTGTAGAAAAAGTCATAAATAGGATACATACATAGGCGAAGGTCAGTCTCCATGGTCTGAAGACGAGAGGATAGGCCCTGCTAGGATAACTCTAGACCACGGATACCGGCCATGATGGCGTCATGATCGGAGGGGGTAGAAGAAGAAGAATCTCCCGCATTCGATCGCCTAGAGTAGGTCAAGTTGGTCATAACCGGGGCAATGGGAGGTATTGGCTGTCCCGGGGTCTCCAATAGATAGGAAGGTTGGTTAGGGTGGATCCTAGTGAGCTCGGGTGCAGGTAAAAAGATAGAACGAGAGGTTTTACCTATGAGCCATCGAATACTATTCGATTATATGGAAATCCAACCTGCGGAGATGAAGTTTTGTTGATCCAAAAGGGTAGGACCTGCATTACCACCGCATGGTAAGTCATGGAAATGAGAAATAATATGGTTTACCTCACCTTCCGGGACACATCTTCTAATCATTGCATCCACACATAATTTGTATAAGAATGGATCCTCCCAAAAATGTCTCCTTGCCTCGTAAAAGAATTTCTTCTTTTGTTAAGATGAGTAGCCATGAGGCAATGTACCCGTGGACAAGAAATTAGCTTAATCAGCATACCAAGGTGATTCAATTTGAGAAAGTGCTAATAAATGTTCATCAGGGAAAGAATCATCAATGGAGAGGTCATCTCCATCCCCCTTATCGAGAAGGAGGAAAGAAAGATGGTCTGCAACGACATTCTCAGTCCCTTTTGTGTCCCTTATCTCGATGTCATAATCTTGAAACAGAAGGACCTCGAATCAACCGCAGCTTGACGTGACTCTTAGTCATCAAATATTTCAATGTAGCGTGATCTGTGTGAATTATCACCTTCGAACCAGCAAGGTATGAGTGAAACTTCTCTATTGCATGAATTACTGCTAGCATCTCTTTTTCAGTTGTAGCATAATTCATTTGAGCAGAATCAAGAGTTTTACTAGAGTAATAAAAAGCGTGAAGTTTTCTATCCTTTTGTTGCCCCAAAACGGCCCCTATCGCATAGTCACTAGCATCACATATAATCTCAAATGGTAGGGTCCAATCCGGGGGTTGCATAACGGGAGCTGAGATCAATGCTTCCTTTAACCTGTTAAAAGCCTCAAGACAAGCATCAGTAAATATAAATGGGGCATCCTTGGCCAAAAGCTCAGTTAGAGGTCTAGCGATTTTCGAAAAATCTTTAATAAATCGCCTATAAAATCTTGCATGACCAAGAAAACTTCAAATTCCTTTTACAGAATTAGGAGGGGGTAGTCGCTCAATGACCTCTATCTTTACTTTATCAACCTCAATACCCTTATTTGACACCACATGGCCTAGAACAACTCCTTTTTGTACCATAAAATGGCATTTTCCCTATTCAAAATTAAATTGACTTCTTTACATCTATGGAGCACCTTTTCCAAATTTTCAAGATATACATCAAAAGATGTTCCATAGACAGAGTCATCCATAAAAACTTCCACTGAATTTTCAATAAGACCTGAGAAAATTGCCATCATACAACGTTGAAACGTGGCTGGAGCATTACCTAATCCAAATGGCATTCTTCGATAGGCGAAGGTGTCATAGGGACATGTGAAAGTAGTCTTTTCCTAATCACATGGACGGATGGGAATTTGAAAGAAACCAGAGTATCCGTCCAAGTAGCAGAAAAAGGAATGCTTAGCCAAACGTTCAAGCATCTAATCAATAAATAGAAGGGAAAAATGATCCTTCTGGGTGGCCTTGTTCAACCTCCTGTAATCAATACACATTTGCCAACCTGTAACAGTTCTAGTGGCGATTGGCTCGCCCTTGTCATTCTTGACAATGGTCATACCTCCTTTCTTTGGAACTACTTGTACAGAACTAACCCACTTACTATCTGAAATAGGTTAAATTATTCCCGCAGCAAGCAATTTAAGAACCTCTTTTTTAACTACCTCCATCATATTTGGATTAAGTCGTGTTTAAGGTTCTATGGAGGAGTTATGATCGTCCTCATGAATTATCTTATGCATACAGAATGAGGGATTAATACCCTTAATATCATCAATGGTGTACCCAATAACACTTTTGTATTTTCTCAAAATAGTGAGCAGTTGCTCTATTTTTGTGTCATTAAGCTCGGCATTAACAATAACAGGATATGTATTATTAGGACCAAGATATGCATATTTAAGAGTAGAGGGAAGGGATTTCAACTCTACCTCGGGAGGCGTAGTAGTCTCCCCAACACTTGATACACTAAGGACTTCCTTCACTAGAGCGGTGGTTGGATTTGCTTTTCCTTTCTCAAGTAGCCGCATGTACTCCCTTGTTTCCCAATCTTCCTCATTGGCATTTCCCACCAATACCATTTTAAGTGCATCATCTGTCTTGATCAAGGGAAGTTTCTCACGTTCTAAGTCATCAAGGACATCCACTTGGAAAATAGACTCTCCCATGGAAGGAGTTCCCATAGCATTCAAGAGTGAATATTCCATTTTCTCGTCTCCCACCTCAAAAGTGATTCTTCCATTCTTCATGTCAATGATTGCACCTGCAGTGGATAAGAATGGTCTACCAATTATAATAGGGACATGTGCATCCTCCTCCATTTCCATCACAACAAAATCGCATGGGATAAAGAATTTTCCCACATGAAGAGGAACATCTTCAAGTATACCCAAGGGAAATTTCACTGACCTATCCGCAAGTTGTGGAGACATGTGCGTAGGCTTTAATTCACCCATTTGAAGTTTCTTGCAAATAGAGAGCAGCGTGAGACTCACACTTGCACCAAGATCACATAATGCCTTGTTGATCTCTATATCCCCAAGCTTCACTGGAATTGAGTAGCTACCCGGATCACCTAATTTCTTAGGAAGTGTATTTTGCAAAATAGCACAACACTCTGCATTAAACGCAACAGTAGCATTCTCCTCTAGCTTCTTCTTCTTAGAGAGCATATCCTTCAGAAATTTTGCATAAGATGGCATCTCGGATATTGCATCTAAAAATGGAATGTTGATGTGAAGTGTAATCCCCCGTATTTTTAAATATTTTATAAATGAAAATTTATTTTACTTATAATATTTATTTGTTATTTTTCATAATTTAATTTCAAAAGTTTCAAATTATTAATCTGAGTCGAAATTTATTTGAACAAATTATTTTATGCACCTTTATTCTACAAATTTATGTCCAATCACACAAGCCTAACCGATTTGTTTACTTAATCGACCCATTATTTTTATGAGGCCCAATCTTCTTATTTACCCTACAATTCTCTCCTATAAATACCCCATGAATCCCCAAAAAATTTCCCACACAAAAAGATTAGTCTTATTTTCTTTCTCCTTAGTTTTATTAATTTGTGTAATTATAATGATAGATTTATGGGTTTTGATTTTATTGTTTGAAATTAATTTAATTAGTATCAAATTGTATTTTGATGATTAAACTTTATAATTTCAGATTTTATAAGTGTCATAATTTTCAGATTTTGTAAATTTTATAACCTAGGGTTTTTAGTTATTCAAAATCATGATTTTAGGGTTTTTATGAACAATTGATTTAGGGCTTTTATAGTAATGATGTTTTGAAATTTTGGTGATTATAAGTACTAATTAGTTTAACTTAACCCCAGATTGTTTTGAACACTTAAGTTCGTGTTTTAATTTTAAGATTTCCGTTCATTAATATTAATCCCGTTTTAATCCCGATCAGGTTCTGAACTCATCCGATTTTGACAAAAAAGTAGTGTTTTCCATGTGGAAACAACGTTTTAAGAAAGACTCACTACCATTGGTAATGGGTACCACCCTCTCGTGGCCAAATTCAGCATCTAAATATGATTTTCGGACAGTTTTTGATTTTAACGAAGTTTTTTTATACTTAAAATACTATCCTTGAGTTTGATTAATAAAATTAATTATGTTTAAAGTTAATTAAGCATAAATATATTTTTTTTATTGAAGTTTTAAGTGCTGGAAATAGTTCCTAAGTACTACTTTTGATGTTTTATAAAGAGGGTTTAATCACCCATTAAAAAGGGAGATTATTAGAGGTTTTTAAATATTTTTAAGATTTTTATTAAACTTTAAACTTGCTGTAATTTCATGTATAAGAGTGTATTTTAAGGTTTTTATGAAGAAAATTTAAAGAACTATATATAAGCCTTTAATTTTAACTAAAGGGAGGGTTTTAAAGTGTTGTTTGATTTGGATTTTGAAGGTTTTAAAGTAAGTTAGTGTTGCTGTAAATTTGATTGATTGGGTATTGATTGAGATGTTATTGTTTGGTTTAGGAGAGGAGTTTATTGAAGGTGATTTCTAGTTTTTAAGTGGCCAACCGAATTGTTTACACAAGGTACGTACAAGTTACGAAACCTTTCTTGTAGGTGCATGTTTAAGGACGGATCGAGAACTTAGTATCATGTATAGGGATGACTGAGTTAGATTGTTTGGTTATACATTGTGAATTTCATATGATGTGCACTATTTTATATTGCAAGTATTATTTGTGCTCTAATTATGCAAGGTGCGCTTAGAGGCAAAGGTATGCAATTGGTGTAAAGATTAATTTATTACTCATTCATGATTATGCAACCAGGATGAGTAAAGGAAGAATTCAAGTCTTATAAGACCAGGTTAAGGTTTTGGGGTGCCTTATGCACTCAAGGTGTTTATACAACGAGGTAGTTAAAGGAATAAATAATAAGTGTTGCTTGTCACTAATAAATCAAGAATTGAAATTGGAAAGTTATTTTACTTGATTGAATTGATATTGGATTGATTGTATTGTTTGCATATGAGTCATCACCAAGTCTAAACTTTTAAATCACGTAAAGTGCAAGATGGATGAGCAATAAAACTCTGGATTGGTGCATTTCTGGAGTACTGACAATCAGGGGTTGGGGTACACGGGGTATTAGTCGTGTACTTTTATCAAGGTCGTCTGATCTACGAGTCTCCTATTTCAAATATTTTTTTAAAACTAGGAGTTAGGTGAGATCTCATACTAACTACCGTCACGGAGTCGCGCCCGTGGTCGTTGGATGTTTATTGATGTTTTCGAAAGGAGGCATGGGGTTATTATTTTATTGATGTTCCAAATGGGACATGGGTTGGACAACCTTGTCTATTGCTAAATCTAATGAAATAAATACATGAGTTAGTTAATATTAACTAGTGAAGTCTTGATAAATTTTATAGTTGAGTCATGTGTCGAGTCTATAAACTAATGATGCGTGATGATTGACTATTAGTAGCATGTTAGGGATTTATTTTATGTTTTGCAACTTGTATTTACTCAGCTTTGCTGATTGCGTGCTTTGTGTGTCTTTCTTTGGTCATGGCCTTCGCCTTTCAATGACCCTGTGCCGATCCAATTTTTACACTTGTAATATTGGGGAGCAGATTAACCACAGGTTCTTACATACGCAGCATTCGCATCAGGGTTGTGGGATTTTGAGTAGAGAGTTGGTTATTATTCGCAGTTTATTTCTTTTCATAAGTTTGAATTTATTTAAACTATGGTTTTATTTATTTACTACTTTTATGGGGTTTTGAATAAGGGCCTTAATGGTTCCAAGTTGTAAGATTTAATTTGGTTTTGGTTTTGAAACTTATTTATAACCGAGTTATTTTTTCCGCTGCTATTTTCTGATAAAGCCTTAACGTTTGAACACGTGGCGGTAGCACGCCAGTAATTCTCTTGAATATTGTTCAGGGTGCTCACAGGTTTAAAGAGAGAATTATTGGGGTGTTACAAAGTGTAATACCCGTATATTTTAAGATTTTACAAATTATAAAATTAGAGTTGTATACTTTAAATTTCATTTTCTTATCTTATTTGGTAGTATTTATATCCTTTAACCATACATTATTATATTATAAAAAAAAAAAAAAAATGTCATTTTTTTCTTTTGCCAATGCGTGAAACCAAACAAGATTTGATATTTTCTTCATAAAAAAATAAATTCATTCTCATGATCATATCTAATAATGTTTTATGATGTGATAAATAGAGAAGCCTATCTACTATATTAGCTAGGTTTGTAAAACTCAAAGCATACGAGAGTCGTACATTAATGTCACCCGACCTTGTGCTATTTTGTCTAGAAGTAATCACACGAAACTTTGACATGTTTGATATTTCATATTATTATGTGTGATATGATTTATTATTTTCACTCTGTATTATTATTATGTGTAAATTTTATAATTGTAATTCATTTGATCAAGTTCGTATATGTATATGATTTATTATTGGTATTATATGATTTGATTAGATATGAGTATCGTTACCCTAAAAAAAAAAAAGATATGAGTATCGTATTACTTTTATTGTTTATTATTGATTATGTTTTATTCTAGGGTTCTAATGTTGTTTTTATAGGGAGTATTGTTTTATTGAGGTTTTAGGGTTATTAATGCAGAGTATTATTTTTGGGTTGTGAGTTAATTATTTTTGGGTGCTAGTACTATTTTTCCCTAAGAGTTGAGATGTTCATTTTTGAATCGAATTGTTGTATTATTTGGGAACTTGTGCCATTGTGGAGTTATTATTATTAAATTGTGAATTATTATTTGATCTATGTATGAGATCAAAAGGTTGAGAATTATTATTTTGTTCTTGGTATGAGGCTCGGCGTTATATACCTTAGTCCTTGGCATGTTGGTAAGAGGATGATAATCATGAGTTAAGAATGAGGTACAATCATTATTATTCAATTTTCTATGGTCCCCTACAGTGGGAATTGACCTGTATGTGGTCTGGTTTAAGGTGTTTTCTGGTTATTGAGAGTATTCAAGTTTTTATACTTGTTGGTTTTATTCGAATTGCCCATGTCCAAGGCTAGGTATAGAACAACGAGCATGGCACACTTATGGGATATATTGAGTAAAGGTTCGTATTATTATTCGAGGTTGAATAGATGAAGGTTATTTTCAGAGTACAATGTGTAATGTAGTTTCGAACTACATTGTTTAATTGATCTAGTAATTTTAATTATTATATTATTCTTTATATTCTGATATGTGATGATTACTCAGCTTCTTGCTGACGTGTGTGTTATTTTGTTCTGTTACTTGTGTTTGCGGCCATGTTTTTTTTTTCTTATGGTGGCCCTGCGATGATCTATTTTGGAATTTGTCCTTAATGGTGAGCATTTGTATAAGCAGGTTTGATCAAGTGATCGTAGCTAAAGGGAGCTCAAGTGATCGATTAGTATGCTATAACGAGTTCGTAAAGTTGTAAATAGCTCACCTAGATTTATTGGGATTTGTAAGCCTTAACACTTGAGAGGTTGTTGAGTGTGGCGGTAATACCTTCACTTTAGGAGTATGCTTCCGCAATTTTATTTAAAGGTTGTTTATTTTTCCTTTAATTCTTATTTATTTTCAGTTAGTAAATCAGGGATGTTACATGAAGCTTCTCCAAAATATCAAGAAATTTTCCATACTTCTTCTCTAACTTAGCTTGAGCCAACCTTTGTGGGAAAGGAACTTGTGGCACATATGGAATAAGTGGTGGTGGAGTTGATGCCTTTGGCCCTTCCTCAATCGCAGTACCATCGACCACCTTCTCTTTTAGTACTACCTCATCAACAACCTCCTTTGATGGCACTCACGTGGGAGGATCTTAATTCCAACTGCTTTCCACTCCTCAAAGTCACAGCATTCATATGCCCCTTCGGTGGTTGCTATGTTTGACCTAGAAAAGCGCCTGGAGTCTTCAAAGATTGGGCAACTTGATGAGCAAGTTGACTTATTTGATTTTCCATGAGCTTGTTCTGAGCTTGTAGTTGTTGGATGTTGTTGTTCGTTGTGCTAACGAAGTTCTCTATCATTAACTCAAGGTTGGATTTTTGTGGAGGTGGTTGCATAGGTTGTTGGACTAGAGGTGGTCTTGCTTGGAACCAGGTGGTGCATTATAATTGTTGTTTCGAGGTGGTAGTGGAGGTGGATTTTGTTGAGCTTGGGTATTCTTGTAA